CAGAGGGTCCTAGAACAAAAAATGGTGAAGAAGCATGAGGCTAGAGGGGTTCCTAACTCTAGTTTCAAAGCTGAACACAAGGGTGTCCAGGTGCTCCTCCTCACGCCTTCCTCCCTGCTCTTGCCCTGCAGCATCCGCCTCACACACCTTCTCCTGGTGCAATCTTGTTCACCCTTTAAGGTCCACCTCTAACCCCGCTCTCCCAGAGAGGCCTTTTCTCAATGCCCCCGTCAGGCCCCCTTTTACCTCCGGGGGTCACGGACTCATGCATCCAGTCAACAAATACTTACTGAGCACCTACTGGGGGCCGGCACTACTTTGGGCCTCAGGAGAAATGACGCAGACCCAGGTCCTGTCTCAGGAGCGCTGCAGTCTACTGAGGGAGACAGGTGTGCACACAAACATGTGCCAGTCAAAGGCAAGAGGGGCCGACCGAAGTAGGGACCGTGCGGAGGGGAGGACAGGCTCACAGAGCAGGGACGATAAGCCAGGCAAAAGAGTGGGGGGAAGAGCATTCTTAGCAGAGGGAAAAGCAAAGGCAAAGGAAGGAATGTCAAGGAGTGAGCTCTGCCCAGGGAGCATCACAAGGTTTACACGGGCCCATGAGATCATTTATCCTATTCAATACCGGGCACACATCCACCTTCGCTGGCTACTGCCTTGCTCGCGGAAGGCAGGGACCTGCCCGATTCCACTCTGCTCAGTGAAGATGGGCCGGGGACTGGATAAGCGGGAGAGCAAGCGAATCACAGGGGATGTGCCCCGGACACGGGCCACTCAGCCGATCTGAGGTGTCCTGACAAGCAGTTTCATACCATCCCAGCACAGATGTATGGAGGGCCTGAAAAACTGGCCCCCGTTTGAGAAGCAAAGATCACATGTTGCACACTCCTTGAAGTGCGGCCCTGCTTCTGCTGAGATACCAGTGAGAGCTGGCAGGTTTCATCAATAGCATATGTCACAGTAAATGTCTGCAGTCAATGATTAATCAGTACCAGGAACACAAGCGTGGACATTATCGTAATGTACACAGCAATGTAACTGAATACAAGCGAGCAACCCGGGGCTCGCAGCAGGAGAGCCAGGGCCCTGGACCACAAGTCAAGCGGGGTGCGGGGGTTAGGCCCAGGAGGGGCCCAGGTGAGCTGAGCCCCACCCGGTTCCTCACACTGCCAGGCGGCTCTGGCGACAAAGAAGGAGGAGGTGGGCTCTGGAGCCAGAATGCCTGGGCCTGAATCCCACTCTGCGACTGACCAGCTATGTGACCTTGGGCAAGTAACTTAGTTTCTTTGAGCTGTGTTTCCTTCTCTGTGAGACAGATCAGTAACACCCCCCCTCCTGGGGCTATTGTGGGGATAAAGGGAGTTCACTCTCACTGTTGGATGCACCAACAAACCACAGATACTATGGCAGCATGGCCACCTGTAGCAGCCAGGGTCCAACTTCTCCGCCCAGCAGGGGCACTGCGGAAAGGACTCACAGGCCTTAGGCAACCAAACCTGGGGATCCCGAGGATCCTGATTCCCTTCCTCCCCCTGAAGCTATGCGTGCCACCCAACCGCAGCTGCGGAACAGGAACTCCTCCACCTTCCGCAAGGCTGGAAGCAGGGCCTTTGTGTCTACCTCTGTCACCTTGCTTAAGTGCTTAGGGACAGTTCAAAGCCCTCCAGGCAAGTAAAGGAGGAGGAGACATTTAAAGCCTCAGCCCCTAGGAGGACATCTTGTATACTGACCCTCTTCTCTACAGACTGCAGGGTCGGAGCAGTGGGGAGGCCCCCGGGCTCCTGGCACAACGCCCTGCGCCCGCCTCGCCGCAGCCCCCACTCCCAGGCACAGCCCAGGCCTGGGCACCGCCATTTCGGCAACTCCTCATAACGACCGCCCCTCCGGCACCCTACTCTCCAGTCTCCATTCACACTTCCCAGCTCACCCCCTCGAGGGCCCTGAATCCACCAGGCTCCCTGCCAGCCCTGGCAAAGGGCCTGGCACACAGGGGCCCTCGGCAAACACCGTTCAAGCTGAATGAGTGTATCACGCTCGTCTCACAAGCCTGACACGGGCCAGGCACCACCCTGCTGGGCGCTGAGAGTCACACCAGGATGAGCGGGACAGACCCGGCGCCTACCCTCACGGGGTCTGTGGTCGCCGGGAAGGCAGTCTGCCTCGCGCAGGGATTGGGTGCTCTGGGGACGCACAGCAGTAGCACCTGCTCTAGCGTGAAGGCCAAGGAAGGGCAAGTAGAAGTGAGGCCAGCAAAGAAGGACAAGCATTCTAGGCAGAGGTAAGAGTCTGGGAAAAGACTGGGAGCACAGGGCAGCCAGAGATCGGACCAGAGGGAGAGGCAAGGCCCCAGGGGGGGCCCTTTCAGGCCATTCTCATCAGCTGATATGTAAGGAAACAGAAGCCCTTGAAGAGTCCATCAGGGGGGTGAGTAATCAGATTTGCCCTCGAAGGTCATTCTGACAGCAGCTTGCAGAGGATGGGAGGGGAGCAAGACAGCAGGCAGGACAACAGCTGGGAGGCGGGGAGCAGCGGGAGTCTGCGCACACAGCGACCACAGCCTGCAGAGAGCCAGCAGCAAAGCGGAGAGGTGCAGGACCCCTGATTTCGGATGGGAATGTGGCTGGAATGCAGCCTCCCCTGCAGGTAGCTGTGGCCTTGCGTGGTTGCGTGCATGCAACTAAGCCCTGGCCAAAGGCATTTCAGTGGAAGGCACGGGCATAACTTTCTAAGAAGCGTCCCTAAAGAGGAGAGTGCCCTCCTGCCTTTCTGTTGGCTGGAAAGCTGGCTGTGATGGCTGGATCTAGTGTGGCCACCTGGGACCACAAGGTGTTCTAGAGAATGAGGGCGACACAAGGGCGGAGCAACAGGGCAGGAGCCTCAGTCCCTGAGGCCTCCAAGCAGCAGAGCTGCTACACCAGCCCTTTCTGCCAGGCTGTCACTTAGGAGAAAGCTAAAATCCCCCCCGTTGATCCACTATCATGCTGGGCTTCCTATGACTCAGGCCGAACCTAAGTGTAGCCGCTGGAGGAGAGGCAGACTCAGGACGTACACGGGAGGAGAAGCGACGGAACCTGGTAAGGACCCAGATCTGGGGCTGAGGGAGCCGGAGGGATCCGCTCACGCCGGGGCGTCTGGCTTGTACAACCCCGTAGATTCAGATTCGTGGTGATGCCATCTGCTGACGCGGGCAGGTCAGAGGGAAGAGCAAAGAGCCGCCGGAGCTGAGCGAGGAATGCCAGGAATTCCAAGAAGAGATAGCTTAGCTTGAAACCCCACCCAGTAGTGCGTCCCAGCTGCACTGAAAGAAAATGGATCAGGAACCAGATGACGCAAAGATTCTGCTTCTTTGCTGCTTCCTGTGCAACGCTCGATGAATCATGGCTCATCCCTGAGCCCCCGTCTTCTCATCCATACGAGGGGGTGCTGCCTTCCTCGTTTCCCTCTCGGGCCACGGGAGGGTGTGCTAACTCACCGCACGTGAAAGCGCTGTCAACCGCCAGGTGCCGCCCAACCAAGGGCGGTAACAGGACAGGTGTAGTTAAACTGTTGGCAAAGGGTTTCACCACCTGAGGTGAAAGTCGGCCCACAGTGGGGCTCAAGCTTCCTGAGGCAACTCTGGAATCCTGTAGAGGGGCATTTACAACTCATAGGACTTGGTGATGATTTGCATGTGGACGGTGGGAAGCCCCCAGGGCAGGGCACCTCGAAAGTAAGGATGAGCGGCCCTCCACGCACGGCCCCATGGCCCCGTCAGCTGCACGTTCTGGAGCAGCAGGCTCAGCCGCAGCCAGAGCTTGGACTCGTCCTGCTGCGTTAGAACGGGAGCCTGGGCTGGCCACGGAGCGGTGCTCTCTGCCCAGCTGCCCACTGTGGCTGCCTCTGCCTCAGTTTGCCTGTGGAGCCAGGCCCTGAATTCCCACCTGATTGGCTGGGGCCTTCCTCTCCTTCCTGTGGCAGGACCTTGACCCCCAGGTGCCACTTTCTGAGACTCTTGCTGACATGCCTCCTCACCCAGAATGATCCCCTGGAGCTCCCTCCAGCATCACTTTCCCCCAGAGCCCTAGGTGCACCTGGGGCCCAGCCAGAGCTGCCTGCCTGCTGGTCCCCCAACCCCGCCACTGCCGCTGCTGGTCTGGAACGACCTATCCGCTGTGCTCTGCACACACGCTCCCACTCATTCTTCCCCACAGAGCAGCCCGCCAGGAAGGGGTTGCCCTCTGTGTCCCCACTGCTCCGTGGGCTCCACCCCACATGGCACTGCCTGGTTGGCAGGTGACCTCCCCCCAGGATTGCATGATCTTGAAAGCACAGAGCACGTTCTCCATCTCCCAGCAGAAACTGGGCCTGGCCCAGGGCCCGGGACTCCAGAGACGATGGAGGTGCTCGGGACCAGTCAACTAGGTGGATGGAGGACGGGAAAACCAGAGGTATGAATAAGTGGAAGAGAGGCTATCAATCCACGCCCAGCTCAACACCAGCCTGCAGGATCCCAGGCTCCCCTGGACCCTGCATTTTGGGTCCTTGGACACTCCTCTCCCCTTTTCCCAACAGCTCGACAGCTGGCTGCTGACCCCTTCCTTCTGGCCCATGACAAACCCAGTGTGCCCTGGGAAGTGACAGCTGTCTACCCCTGACAGGCTCTCCTGAACAAAACCTGGCTGGCCCCTGCAAGACGAGGTTAAAGATGAGGGCTGCAGGTGACCCCTGGTCCTGGCCGGCTGACCCTCCTCAGCTTCCCCGCCCTTCCTCCTGTCTGTCTGCGTGGGTCGCACCCACAGCAGGGAACAGCCCAGTCTTCTATCCCCACGCCCCTGCTCCCAGGACCCCATGGGCCAGAAGGAATGGAGTCTAGGAAGCCCCTCCCTCCACTAAAGAGCAGACCTCTCTCCCACCTTTCTCCTGACCCCTCAAATGAAGACCCAAAGCCAGGGGACCTCTAGTCTGAGACCCGGGAGGAATCAAAGGAAAGGTGTGCGTCGTAGCTGCTCGTCACCCACCGGAATCCACTCTGCGAGTCCCTAGGGTCGACCAGGATGCAGTCCCAGGTGCGACTGGAAGCGTTCTGGAACAGAATCAGCTGCCCTTCCTCCCGAACCCGGCCACTCGAGGCGTAGTCGGCCACCGCCACCTCCTTCACCCGGAACGGATTAGTGAACAAGTTGGTGACGCTACTGAGGGTACTGACGAGGCGGCCGAAGAACTGCATCTTCCACGGGACCGGTGGGGGGCCCACTGCCTGCAGCCTTAGTCTGGAAGAAAACAGGGCCTCTGGTCAGCTAGGCTCGGTCCCCCACGCCCACCTCATCAAGTGCAGCGGCTCCCCGCCAGTGTGGTTTCGGGTCCTGGGCCTGGGGAACTGACAAGGAGGGGAGAGAGGGAAACGGCACGGGGGGAAGGGGAAGTAGGAAGGCCTTGTGGGAATCACAGAGCCGCCGCTGCACAGAGGAGACCAGGGTGTCCTGCTCCCAGGCCCTGCTTCCCAGCAGAGACTCAGTTTCCTTACCCATAGTGGGGAGCTATACTGATCAAAAAAAGCCCCCTGCCTATGGAAGGTGGAGAGGCAACTTTCTGGTGCTCGAAGAGTTCAACATGGGTCATCTCAGTTCCACAAACAAAGCCAGTGTCCCCTCTCTACTAGAAATGACAAAGGGACCAGAACCGTCTTGCATTCCCCAGGGTTAGGAACTGTAACCGCTTGTCTAAAACCTCCAACACCTGCAGCCCTGGTTCCCCAAGGCGCTCGGAGGGACCACCAAACCGGGCTCCTCGGAAGTGGACAGGAAGGAAAGGACTCAGAAAAAGTGAATGAGGGTTTGGGTGGGAATTTTCCGTTTCATACTCATAGGGTCACAGTGTCTGCTCTGGAAATTATCCCCAGGTTGGAAGACAGCGTTAGATGTCTTGTTACTTCCCGGGCTCCCAGAAAGCACTCTGCCTTCCTAGGTCAGTGTTACCAAAGTCAAATGACAATTAGTTAGAGGCTGCCCTCTGCCTCTGTGCCAGAACATCACCCACCGAAAAAGCATATCAGACACTGAGAGCCGATCATGCAAGTCAGGGTGCGCTGGGCCACGTGTTGAGGAGAGGATCAACTTTAGGTCAGAAAGGACAACAGGAGGCTGCATGTAATCATCTAAACAGGGACTACAAGTCAACAATGACGATTACATCAGAGGAGTTTATTGAGCACTTGCTAGGTAGTAGGTCCTGAGGAAAGGACGTCACAGCACTGTCTCATTTAACTCTCACAAAGACACAGGAGGCTGATGCACTGAGCATGCAGTACTGCTCTGGAGCAAAACTGTGTTTAAATCCCGGCCTTACCATCTGCCAGCTGTGTGACCTTGGGCAAGTTACTTAACCTCTGTGCAGCTCAGGTTCCTCATCTGTAACATGGGGAGCACAATAGTGCCTAATAGAACCTAGCAGATAGTAAATATTCAACAAATTTTGGCCCTCTTTACTTGGGTCCCTTCACAGACAAGGAAACTGAGGCTTCCAGAAGCGCAACTGCAGAGCTTTGACATCGCTGAGGCACTGCGATGTTCCTTCCTTGTCTGATTAGCAGTAACATGCAGTGTGGGCAGACTGTGAGCCTCGGTTCTTCTTTAAAATGAGAATGGTGCTCATCTCTCGTGTGTTGTAAGGATGGGATGAGAACACTTGTGAGAATGCTTAGACCTGTGTCAAGTTCCTTCTTCTGCGTCGAGAACTGTTACGGACAAGGGAGCTGGGGTGCCTGCACCCCTCCCCACAGCCAGGGAAGAGGAGAGGGACCCCAAAGGAAAGTGTGGGCATTGGTCCCAGGAGAAGAACCCCCAAAATGGAAGACAGGCATGCATATCAGTGCACACTCATGATTTTTGTTTTGACACAGAAATGGAAGCAACTTCAATACCCCATATTGGGACAACTGTAAATTATAAAACATTTACCCTTGAGACGTGTGGTCATTAAAACCTGTGATGGTGAAGGTGGTAACAACTCAGGAAAAGCACGTGGCATCTGTGACGGGCTCGGTGGCACGGAGTCCGTGATGCGCCCCGTGCCGCTCACAAGCTACAAGTACGGCCTGCGGAGCCCTGCCTCCCACGCAGCTTCTCGCCCGCAGCCCCACCCTGTCAGCTCCCAGCCCCGCAGGGTGCCAGGCAGCAGCACTGGTCCCCACCCCCTGGCCTGCCTGCGCTGATGTGTCTATCGGAACGTCCTTCCTCGCCTTTGATCCTCCTGCCAGGCTGGACGATTCCTAACACTACTCACAGCAAACACTCAGGGCCCCTTCCTGGGCTTGGGCCCTGTCCCAGCAGCTGACATGCATTAACCATTTCATCTGCACCACCGCCCCACACCGCTGTTACCCGTGGTCTCCTCATTTTACACGTGAGAAAATCAAAGAAGAGAGAGGCAAAGTCACACGCCGCAGGTCCCACAGCTGGTGGGTGGAGGAGGGAGGACAGGAGCCCCGTGGAGCCCCGAAACTGGCTCCGGGGTCTGAGCTTCTCCAAGGCGGGTGCTACACCTCTGCAAATTCACTCCTAACCTACGCTTGGCCCACAGGAAGCGTGTTAAAACATAATTTACATAAGTGTACAGGAGTAAGAAGCATGTACAGCAAAAAAAAAAAAAAGAGAGAGACACATAGAGGCTGATGAAAAACCTCAAAATCCTAAGAGGAGATAAGGGTGTTGTGTTTATGGGCAAGTTTTTTTCCTTTTCCCTATTTTACAAAAGGTATGGAAAATGATTATTTTTTTTAAACAAAGAAGGAGTACAACCGAGCCCCCGGGGCATGCAGCTGGGGAGGCGGAGGGCCAGGGGGTGAGAAACACGGTGGCTCCCCAGAGGGCAGGCTGGCTGCGCTGGGAGCAGGGCCGCAGGAAGTGGGGAAGTCAGCGGCATCCAGCACCGGGAAGCCGCCCGGGGTTCAGGGGCAGAGCCGCGGGGGGCCCAGCTGGATGGAAGGAAGACACTGCTGGGGGGAGGCGCACCCGCGCCGGCGTCCTCTCACACACTGACAGCAGCCTGGCCACTGCAAGGACAACCTGGCTCTCTTCCCGCCTCCCAGGCTGGGCGAGAGGATGAAATGACACAATGTAGGGAAAGTGTCCAGGGCGCCTTGGGCACACAAACAGTGGCCACTGTTATCACGAGGTGGAAGAAGGGAAATGAAAACCGCGGGGCCACATCCTAGAACAATGCTAACAGGCCAACCTGGAAAGCGGCACATGGGGAGCAGACTGAGCATGCCTGGTTTCCATCCTCCCTCCCCGCGCCCCACCTCTGACCTCAGAGCCCAGGTTTTTTTCCAGCGCAGCTGTCGGGGAGGACGCTGGGCTGGGGAGCCGGCCGGCCGCCATTGGAACCTGTAAGGTCCTGTCCAGCTGACTCCTCTGCACGGGCTGTCCCTCTCACAGCTGCTTGTCATTTGACCTCCCCACCGTGCCAACACGCTTTCACTTACTGACAGCTGTTCCGTACCCTCACCTGGGCTCGTTCTCTGCACCTAGGTGACACAGTGTCCTCTGACAGGGACCAAAGGCTGCTGGGCACTTGACGCTGCTTCAAGCAGCCTCTCAAATGCCACAAGCAGTTAGACACAAACTGCCTCTGTGGTGACGGTGACGGAGACAGCTCTCTCTGCTCCACGCAATCTCCAGGCCATCACGTTTGTGTCCCTTAAAGTGTGGCTGGATATTTTTGGCCGGTTCTCCTTAGTGTTGCTGCCCCACCCCTGTCAGAGGCCCGGCTTGCCTGCTCGGATCCTTCGGGGAAGAATTACACTGGCTGCTGTTGGGGGTGTCCCTGGCAGGACTATCCCCATTTCAGAGATACAGAAACTGAGGCCCGAAGAGGTCTTACATTGTAGGTGTTCAAAGGGCAATTTAAAAAGGACATGTTGGCCCTGGCTGGTGTGGCTCAGCGGATTGAGTGTCGGCCTGCAAACAGAACAGTTGCTGGTTCCATTCCCCGTCAGGGCACATGCCTCGGCTGCAGGCCAGGTCCCCGGCGGGGGGCACGTGAGAGGCAACTGATGTTTCTCCTGCACGTTGATGTTTCTCTCCGTTTCTTTCTTCCTCCCTTCCCCTCTCTCTGAAGATAAATAAAATCTTTTAAAAATGTATTTAAATAAATAAATAAATAGGACATGTTGATGTCCACACACACACACACACACAAAAAGAAGAAGAAAAAAAGAAAGAAAAGGAAAAAAAAAAAACCAAAACCCTACAAAATCCTCCCTGGGACCAGGGAGCAATTGGAGCCAACAGGTAGAATCTTAGGTGAATTCCCCAGAAGTGGCTAGTTGGGCTCATTATAAAATGATTAGTCACAGGGGGACCCAAGCCCAGTTCTTGTCGCAAAAAGTACACAGTCCCTTGCGGGGGGAGTGTTGGGAAGAATGGCTGGAGAAGGTGACTTGTGAGCTGTGCCGTGAAGTTGGGGACGGGGTAGAGGTCTTCCCAGCAGCCAGAGCCTATGAGAATGTGTAGAAAGGCACAGGGACAGGGGCCCGCGTGACCCATCTGGAAACAAGCATTTTCACTGGGTCCAGGTGGCACAGAGAAGGGCTACCGTCACCGCTGCTGTCAACATGAACACTGGTCACTACGAAGCCATCTGGCCAGCATCCGTGACGCCAGCCCTCAGCACAGCCTGCCTCATTCCCGACAAGGAGACAAGCTCGGGAAGTGCACAGAGGCGGGGGCGGGGGGCACAGGGCAGGGGAAACTCAGCCCCCAGATGCTTGGTTCCTCCTTGGCCATGAACCCCTGAAGGACTCTGACAGATCTCAGGCAAGAGAGGAAGTGCAAAGCCACCAGGAGTGAACAGCTCTCCCGGAGTGAAAGGGCCCACTTCCCGGCCTGTCCTCCCCGGAGCGCCCTCCCCATCCCTGCCAGAGCCTCCGCTCCTCCTTCAAGGTCCAGCTGCCCCTGGGGACACTCGGGCCACTAGATCGGCCCCTCCTGCGACACCACTGCCCTTTCTGTACATGCACACGGTGAGAGCCAGGTCCACCCCACCCATCCTACACCCCGTCTATGCAAATCAGACCGCCTGCCCAGGGGCTCCCCACCACCTTCTGGGGGAAGGGTGTGAGCGCCCCTCCCCAGCAGCCCGCCACCTGCACTGCACTCCGAAACCTCCCGGAGCGTGCCAGCTTGGGCTTGGTGTCCCCTCACGCCCACTCTCCCTCTCCCCGCCCCAGGTCTGCCATGTCTCAGAGGATGCTCTCAATAAAGGACTGCTGGACCAACGCACAACCCCTTCTTGTCCTTGAAGACTCGGTTCCTGCGCCACCTCCTCTAAGGACCATACCTGTGTCCCCCCCTGCTCTCAGCCCCTGTCTGTGCTCCTTCCTCTGTACCCCCACCGCCCAGTGCACACCCCCCACTGCAGCCCTTACCCTGCAATGACGAGGGTGTATCTGTGGGTTTGGGCTGCCCACCTGCCCCCTCTTGTTTATCTAAGCACCTGCCTAGAGTGGCTATTTAACAAACGTTTGGTGAGTGAATGAGTGGGAACTAGTGAATGTGCCAAATGGGAGCCCACTGGCCAGTACCTCTGAGGCACGCCCGCCCCCTCCCCTCTTAACCCCCTTGGAGGTGGTAACAGACCACACACCCACTCTGAGCAGCGTCACCACAGCGGAAAGGCTCAGGGGGTGCTCGACCCTCGGCCAGGGAAACGATCAGGATGCTGCTGGGTACCAGCAGCGGCCTGAGCTTTGGTCCAGAAAGTTCAGCCTTCTCTACCGCCAGCAGAGCTCATTCACACTGCAAACGGGGGAACTCGGAAAGCCTCTGCTTCCTACTTGAAGAAGCCTGGCCAGAGGGGCAGGGCAGCTGCTCGAGAGCTGCGTGACAGGATCCACAGGCAGCCAGGCCAGGAAGCTGACCTCACAGGACTGGCCACGTGGGGACTCTGGGAGCACACGCAGAGCTGCTCCAGCTGGAAACCTGGCTTCACGAGCCCGGGCTGCTTACGACAGGACGTCCCATGATCGGAACAACAGGCACAGGACAGCGACACCCTCCCATGCAGCGGATGTCTCCCCCAGTCCACCGCCCTGGCGGGACGGGCTGAGAACACAGGTCTGCTCAGGGCACCAAGCTTAGCTGACCGCTGCGGACCTCCTTCCTGCACCACTCAGCACAGCGCACGCGCGCTTCCCCACCACGCTTCACGGTTGGCAGGGTTTTCCTGTCTGAGCCGCCCTGAAGCTCAGAGATGCCCATCGAAGACAAAAAGTGCAATTGTGGGGAATATGGGAAAGCCAAGACCCAGAAAGAAGAGATGGGAGGGGTCGCCTGACAGCTGGCACATGTCTTCCTTCCTCAGACTCCCAAACAGCGTTAGGCAGGGGGCCTGCACACTGTAGGCGCTCAATTACTGCGAGAGAAAAGACTGGATGAAAGTAGGGGTCAAGTCAAATGGCATTTCCACCTCCCCATCTGAGCCTCTGGACCTGCAAGGCTGCCTCCAAAACAAAATGTCCCTCCAAGCGTTCCCTCTGACCCAGCACGTCCCTAACGCGTTCCTAATCAAGTGACCAATGGGAAGGAGCTCGCTCCTGTCACCTTATACCCCACGCCACTGCTATGTCCACCCAGCACCCACTGAGCGCCAGGAGCCTCACCAAGTTTTTTAGGTAATCATTGTATTTGACCCTCAAAACACTCATAAAAGGTGTGTTACACCCAGGAAACTGAGGCAGAAGAGATTCTGTAACTTGCCAGATCTGAACCCAGGCAGCTGGAAGCCAGGACACCAGCTGTGCCCCTCAGGCGGCCTTCAGGAGAAAGCCTGAATGGAAAATGGCTGAGTGGGGCTTGATTTTCAGATGCCTCGCTTCGAAAGCTAAGGCCCTCCTCTGACAAATGCATTGCCATTGACCTGAGCCCGAGCAAAATGCTCTTTCAAAAGCGGAAAAGGTGTCTCATTCATTGTGCTCAGCTGGATCACGTCTCGAAGCAAAGTGCCCTCGACATGTGGCTGGCGCTTCCGAGGACAGGAAACACCAATAACTTTAAGGAATTTGGGGCTGGTGACATGGTATAGGGTGGCCCATCTTATGACTCAATCTATAAACATTTATTGAAGACCTATTATATGGCAGGCATTGTTCTGACTGCCGAGAAGACACTAATGAACACAACAGACAAAATCCCTGCCCTCCTGGAACTTTTATTTTAGAGAAGGCTGTACATAATAAAGAAGATGAATAGACAAAAAAAATATGCATAGGTCTAGATGCTGATTAGCTGCTGAGGAGAAAAATAAACCAGAGAAGGGAGATAGGAAGTGTCCAGACAGAGACTTAATTTTTAAATAGGGTGAACAGGGACGTCCTCACCCAGAACTTGACCTTGAATAAAGAATTACAGGAAATGAAGGCAAAAGTCATACAGATATCTAGATGAAGGGTTTTCTAGGTGGCAGGGAGAGCAAGTGCAAAGGCCCTGGGGCTGGAGCAAACCTAGTTAGGTTCCAACAACAGCAAGGAAGCCTGTGAGGTCAGGGAGGTAACAGGGGCCAGGCATGTAGAGCGAGAGGAGAAGCCACGCACTGCAGGGCTTGGGGCAAAGGGAGTGACATCTCAACAGATCACCCTGGCCGGATACGGAGTATATAAGCACCAAAGACATTCTTACAGCTTTGGCCTGAACAACAGAAAGAATGCTGCCATTTCTTAAAGATGGGAAAGTGAGGGGTGGGAGGAAGACAGGTTATGGATGAGGGTGGGGGAGGGATAACGGGGTACATACCAGGAGCTTAATTCTAAAATCTTTAAGTTTGAAATGCCTCCGTTGAGGGAGTTAAGTAAGTGGGCAACTAGCTCTGTGAGTCTGTCATTCAGGGGAAAGCCGTGGACTGGATTGGAGATAAAAATTTGGGAGCTCTCAGGGTAGAGATGGTACAAAACTATGCAACTGGATGAAATCACCAAAAACAAAAAACAAAAAAATGAGGATGGACAAAAAAAAAAAAAAAAGAGAGAAGAGGCATTTAAGGCCTGAACCTGTTAAGATGTTCTCTCAGGGAGCCACCCTCTACAAAGTGAAGCCTGAAACACCAGGCATCTCCTTCACTGCAGCCCCAGGCATGCGCATTCAGTCCTCCTTCCTCTATGGCTGATGTCATTCTGCTGAGAAGGAAATTCCCTTTTGGGGATACAGTCATCTCACAAGACAGTAAGCCATGGAAGGAGAAGAAGTGCCCTGCGCCCTGGACAACAGCCGTGACCTTTACACAGCAGGGCAATCGTTCCGAATCTGGTGTCGGAATGCAAGATTCCAGCTCCGACCCACATCCGCTGGTGCGGCTTCAGGCAGCTCGCCGGCCCTCTCTCTTCCTTACGTTAAATGGGAATAACATCGGCTACATGAAGGGTAGCCTAGAACATAGTAAACAGTCCATCCATACCCGTTAAACAAATGAGGACTGAGGAATGAATGAATGGTAAGGATTACAGAGAAGAGAGCCGGACAGAGCACATGAGCAATACTGCCAAATACTAAGTGAAAGACTAAGTAGAAGGCGCCTCTCTCTTGTCTTTGCTCCTTTTTTTTTTCATTCCATCCCTTTCCCTTTCCTGTCTATGACCACACTGTTTACAAAGATTTGCCTTTTACATTATCTCAACTTTTGAACCTCACAGCAACCTTATGACGGCAGGAAATACAATTGCTCCACCACAGATGAAGAAACTGAGACTTAGATGAAAAATGGCCACCAAACTCCAGTAACATTTTGAGACACAGGCAGTAACAAAAACACTGCGTTCAGCCCAAGGGTGGAGCATATGTGTTGCCAAACCAAACCTGCCTGACATCCTGTTGGGTGGGTAAGAGGCAGGTGAGGGAAAATTCCAGAAGCTTAGGGGAAGTGAAGGTATTTGATAATCCATTTAAAAAAACCCCACAGATCCCTGAGCCCTGTGCCCTCTACCTCCCACACCGAGGGGCCTGTGTGGCCCAGTCTCATGGTCACACGGGTCACATGCACCCTGTCACCAGCTCCCAGGTCATCTGTAGGAGCAGGAGGTAGACCGAAGGTTGGGGGGTTGGGGGCCTCTGGGGTGAGGAGGCTCTGAGGAAGGAGGGAGTATGGCGCAGCAGGCAGATGAAATCTGGAGGTGCAGCAGAGGCCATAAGCAGGGTGAAGCAGGGAATTAGAACTGGAGAAAAATAAAATAGAGAACAGGGGAGCCCAACGAAGATGAAGCAGGGATCAAATGGGAATACACGGGGGCGGAAACTCGGGGGCACTTAGCAAGGCACAGGGAAAAGCTGGGGATGATCAGCGGGGCCAGAGTGCGAGCTGGGGCCACTGAGAGGCTCCACGAGGTGGGGAAGGGCGGAGGGGTTGACTCGTGAAGTGAGGGGTGGACAGAGGAAAGACACACAAGCCAGGCTGGGGTACAACGGGGTTGAAGCTGGGGTCCCTGGGGGACAAGAGCGGTCACGGGACGGGAGTTGGGGACGCTGGTGGATCAAAAGGAGGAACCTGGGGTCACTCAGGGTCACAAAAAGGTCAATAGAAGACATTCTTCAGAACCGGCGACTACGGGGAACGTGCGAAAGAGGAACCACGAAATCTGGGACACTGAGGAGGTCTGGGGAGGGCCCCCCAGGCCCCGCCTTCCCTGCCCCGTCACTCACCTCGCCTTACTCAGCACTTCTACTTCCTCCTAGTTCTGCAAACAAGCCCTGGCCGCAAAGCCACTGCTCTCCGCCAATCATCGAAGGCCATGCCTCCCAGCCGCCGCTGCGGCCCCGCCCCCGCGCCGCGAGCGCCGCGCGCGAGGAAGGCGGGGACGGGGCGCCACCATCTTATATAACTGCCCAATGGAAGGGGCGCACACCTCCAAGGGAGGCCGAGCTGTAGGTTGCAGCCAATCCTCGCCGGTGGAGCGCGACCATGTCTGTGCTGGGCGGAAGATTCTCGTGACGGCCGGTTGGCAGACATGTTGGTGAGGGGCAGGGCTCTCACCCGTCTCCGACCTCCGCATCTCGAAAAGGTCGGAGGACTAAAGTCCAACCTACTGTTAGTGAACCTACTACGGTTCCTAAAGAGAAAACTAGAACCAACAGAGACACAGAGCATAACAGGGAGGAACCTGCTTGGATTTTCCGGGAACCCCCCCAAGCCATGGTTCTAGATTTAGCAAATAAAAATAGGGATGCCCAGTTAAATTTGAATTTCAGCTGAATAACCAATAATTTTAAGTATAGTTAGGCAAACACACACACACACACACACACACACACACACACACACACACACACACACACCCACCCCTCATTATCAGGCATCCCTTCCCCAAGCCAATATCAGGGAGTATCTTGGCACTTTTAGCAGGAACTTGACTTGATCTCTGTAAGCTTGTCTGAGAAGTGAGCACAGTAGTATCTTAGGCGGTTGTTGTGATGGCCAGAGATAAATTAGTCCCCAGGTCTATATATGGGATTTCAATACATGGCAGGTATGATTAATGATGTTGAGAATGAGGTATGCTGGAAAGAAAGGACACTGGGTTTTAGCCACAGACCTGCTACTGACTGAGCAGATCAGGACCCCTCTCCTGCCCACTGAGCTTGCTTGGATAACTTTTTTTTTGCAATTTATTTTTATTTTTTTAAATTTTATTTTAATTTATTTTTTCAAATACATTTGTCTCTGCCTCCCCCCGCCCCCCTACCACTTTTAATCTCATGATCCCCCAATCACAGATTTAGATGAATTCTCCAAACTGCTCTTCATCTACTTGGGAAATGGCGTTGCTGTTGTCATTCCTGTGAAAAGAAGAGAGTTTGGTCCTCGGTCTGTCCAAAGATGTTAGTGCCCACGCTGAGGGCAGCCAATGCAACTGGAGCAAGGTTTAGTTAAGAATCTAGACAGGTGATAAACTAATCATGGTAACTAATATTGATACAGAGTTTCACCAGTTAAAAAATAACTGGACTTCACATCCATCATTGTTGGGTTGAGTTGCTCATGTTGGCATTGTTACAGATGTTGATGTAAGAAACATCCAAACCTGTAGATAAACTTTATGAGTTTAATGGAGCCACACTGAGGACATATGCCAGGGAGCAAGATCTAAAATGCTCCGGAGAATAACAGTTTTACATTTTTGTTTTGTTTTGTTTTTATGTATTTGAAATGAAGGAAGAATAGAGAAAGCAAGGCGGAGATTGAATTACAGGATACTTAAGAGTATGTATACTCTTGAGGGTTAATAGCCCCTGAGAAGTGTTATTGCTTCTGGTATTTCAGAGGTGTGTTAGCCTAGATGCACAAGGCTGGCTTAAAACCTTTCACTAAAGAAGTTATAGGCCTGGGCAATGACCTGTCCAGTTAGAAACCTGTGATTATATCACCCTGTGAGGTTACCATCCATAGAACCCCTTTTCTTTGTCGGCACAGATGCGGAAACTGTTCCCTTAAACTAATTAAAATTTTGCTGAAGAGTTTCACCTTGGCGTGGAGAGAATGGGATGAAGACTCAGAATTCTCAATCAAACCATCTTGCCCTACACACCTGTAACAAGCAAAGTTAGGGCAATGGTTATCAGGGAGCTTGCAAAAGGCCAGGCATACCAAGCAATCAGACTTGAGAAAATGTGTAGGTTCAACAGAGTAAGTCCCATTCTTCAGCAAACATCCACCTCTGTGTTCAAGATGAATCTGCAAGGCAAGTTTATCAAGATAGACACACAACTAAATCTGAAATGCAAAAAAGGCCAAGGGAGGCTGCATCACTCTTTAGACACACTCAAATGTTCGTGAAAGATACTCATCAATAGAATCTCAGGACGTAATTAAGTCAAGTGCCCCTCCCTTAGGTACATTTGGTGAAAACTGTTAAATGAGTAGATAAAGCAAGAGATGAAGTATAGTGGTTATTAGGTAGCATGGGATAAATAAGCAATGGAAAGAGAGGGGCAAGTAAGCACAAGCAGATACATTCAGTTGGGTTTCTACGGGATTTTTCACTGGAGGAGTTCAAGTCAAAGAGCTTCTCTTAAGGGGCTATGCTAGGTCATGCAGCTACAAATGTCCTGGAGCAAGGTGTCTGCCTTCTAGGAGCCCATGGTCCAGAGGGTCAAACTAGGCCAAGTCCCCTCCTGTAACAGTGGGGAGTTGTAACCATCCCACCATTCTTTTGACATTGTTTCTGTAAATGCTGGCTAATAGATAGCTTGCAGATAAACAGCATGTTTGTATAAGAATCCTAGGAACTAACTTCAAAAGATACAAACTCCGACCTTCAGGCATCCCAGCTCTGGGAGTTTTGCTGACCTTCAACCGTGGAGCCAGAATGATGTAAAGCCAGGACAATTAAACCAGATGACGCACAACAGACCATCACTTGCCTTATCCGAATGGACTGTGCTCATCTGCACGTAGAGAACTCTTCAACCCCCTTCCTTGATTTCTTTGTTCTGCTTCCCCCTCCCTCCTTATAAAAATCTCTGCCTTTAGCACTGAGGTGTTAAAATGGGCTTGGAGACTAGAGTCCCCCACCTCCCCAGGGGAGATGGGCTTTGTGACACGAGTCCCTCATCGTCCAGGGGGCTGGCACCTGAAAATAAACCACTTTCCTTATACCAGCACCTGTCTCTCGAATTTGGCTTTGGTAGCGGCAGGCAGTCAGGCCTGCATTTGGTTACACTCCCTCAAGGAGTTGAAGGAAATTTAACTGACGTGCTAACACTGCAATTTTACACTCTAACCTTGTTTGATGCTCACAACAACCCTGAGAAGTAGTAATATTACCCCACTTTATAGATGAGGAAACCAAGGTTCTGTAAGGGGAAATGAGCCCAAGAATCATATGTCAACTAGAGGCAGAGCCAGAATCAGGGTTTGTGTTGTCTTTCCTTTCCCTGAACCATAGAAGTTTGACAATGTTCTTGGTGTTGATGAACCGCAATGAACAGAATAGACACAAGTCTCTGCCCTGGTGGCGCTCAGTCTAGTGGGGAAAGGCAGATGACAAACAAGATAGAGTGTCAAATACAGAGTGTGTTTTGCTGAAGTCTGTAGGTGAACTCTCATGATGTTAGCATCTTTCAAAGAACCTAAAGTGTTGAATCTGAGGTTGTGTACGTGAGCGGCATTGCACTAGGCCTTCCATACCTGTGTTTGAACATTTTTATAATTAAAAAGTTGAGGGAAATATAGAGTGCTAGATATATGCTCTACAGTAAAAGCAAGGAGGAAAGATGGGGAGAGTTGCGTTTTTAATGGGGGTGGCCAAGGAAGGCCCCGCTGAGATGGGAGGCATTTAAATAAAGACCCAAGTGCTAATTGCGGGGGTGGGTGGTGGTGGTATAAAGGAGATAAATGGAAAAATACAATTAAAAAAACTGGAATAAATAAAGACCCGAGGCCGATGAGAGAGCGAACCATGCGGTAACCCAGGAAGTGTTCCAGATGGAGGGAGCAGCAGGAGCAAAGGCCCTGAGGCAGGCGCCTCCCTTGCTTGTTGCAGGAAAAGCAAGGAAGCTGGTGTTCCCAGAAAAGAGCCAGTAAGCGGAAGCACAGCAGGCCATGAGGCCAAAGGGCTATCGGGGCCTGTGGGACATTGTGGACCATTTTAAAATGTGTGCTTTCCCTCTGAGGGAAACGGGGACCCATGGAGGTTTTTAAGCAGAGGAGTGACCTGATGGGACTCAGATTATAACAGATCTGTCACAGGACAGACCGTAAGGGCGAGGCAGGGGCTGGGGGACCAGCAAGGGGGCTGATGCAGAAATCCAAGTGCGAGACAAGGGTATGGCTGTCCTGCCATGTAATTATCATAATTGCAGTGTGTTACAGACGGGGTTCGTGTTATGACAAAATGCGTAAGGTATAGGGGGCATTGTGAGAAGGCTTTGCCGACCTCTGCCCTGTAGGAAGCTTTCTGAGGTGACTCTCGAGCAGGGGTGGGCGAACTATCTTGTCTGCCATTTGTTCTGTAAACGAGGTGTTACTGAACGCAGCCACTCCATTTGTTTACATAGGCCTATACTTTCTCCAGTGGCTGAGCTGAGCAGTTGTGACAGACAGCATGCAGTCCACAAAGCTGGAGCTATTTCTATCTGGCCTTTTACAGAAAAAAAAAAAAATTACCAACCCCTACCCCTCTTCTTACATTGGGTTTCAAAGGTTGAATAGGAGTTTGCCACCTGAATTAGGAGAGAACATTCCAGGTGGAAAGAGCCATATGGACAGAGGTCGAGAGGTCGGCATCCTGAGGTTGTGTGGATTGTTGGGGGCCTCACAGGGCTGGGCACCGCAGGAACCTGGTACGTGAGCACACGAGCTGACGGGCAGGCCGCAGAGGCCGGGCTCGAAGGGTCCCTGTGCCGGGCCCAGGCTGAGGGCCTTGTCCTGCAGGCAGTGGGAGCCCCGGGAGGGTTACAAGCAGGAAAGTGACGTGGGAAAAAAATCTCCTCTGCTGCCGTGAGACATGACGGAAGGGCACAGAGGTCATGAGGCAGCTGCGTAAGGACTACACTAATTATGTGGCCTCTGACTGGGTGAGGGGCCCTTGGGTCTTGTGTCTGCCTCAGGAAGGAAATGAGTGCCCGTGACCTTGAGCTGCGAGGCAGTAGCCACGGGCTCCTGTCCCAAGGGGGAAAGCCAGTCCTCGCCTGCAAAGGCAGGATTTCCCCAGCCCGGGGCTGCGGCAGAGGAGAGCCTGGCTCTCGGGGCAGGGGCCAGGGCCGTTTTGCCAGAAGCAGGCTTGACCTGGGCCCTGCAGGATGGCAAGGGCTGGGCAGGCTGGGCG